TTAAAAGATGTTAAAAAAAAACAAAAATATGCACATAGAAATAAAAGTGTCAATAGCACACTGGTTGAACTTTGTGGTTTCAAAACAAAAGTATCAAAATTTATGGGTTTGCAATTTAAAACAATCACGCCCTGATATGAAAGGTGTCTATTGGATTGAAATAATTTGCAACACACACCACATACTACACACATCCCTCACCATTAAGGAGATTGAAATAATTTGCAAACACACAAATTTGAACCCAACTCAACCAAACGTACCATCACTAAACTTCAGTTCAGCATTATGGAATCCACGACACCTGTTCTGTCAGTGTCTACTGAGTTGTTGAAATTATTCTCAAGAAATAATTATTTAAAAAATTAAATAAATTAATTAAAGAACGTCTAACTATAAACGACTAAGAAGCATAAAAATTCTATTCCTTTTGTCATGCTTTTTTAGTCCATGTAATTAAATAATAATAAATAAATCAAAAAAATAAATAAAAATTGTTGTCAACTATGTTGCACTGATACGGACACGGGACACGAGATACAACACGATACGCCAACATGTTAATTCTCAAAAATATCATATTTCAACATGTTAGGACACATTTTGATATTAAATAATTTATATTTATTATATATTACAGTCCCTAATGAGTCATATAACCAATAAATTTCATAACATAAATATAAAGTAAAAGTAATTTTTCATACCTTGTTAATTTTTTATGTCAAATTTCATAATAGAAACAAAATTGACTTATTAATTAATTTTTTAGTTTTAGTTAATAAAATAAAATTTAGACCTAAAAAACATATATCGGATGCATGTCGAAGCATTGATCGCGTGTCAAAAAAAATTAATCGTATGTCAAAAACATGTGTCAGAACGTTGACCGCGTGTCGATGTTTGACACATAATTTTTTTAAAAAAACACGTGTCAGTGCTTTCTAAATTGTCATCTTAAGAGAGGTTTTTAAATAAAAAATATCTTACTTTATATAGTTAAATGTATATTATTTATTAAAATATTCATAAAAATATACCTTTTTTTTTTTGGAGTTACCCAACCCTAATTATCTCTTTGAGACGAGTTGGCTCCCTCCGGTATCCCCACAAGCTTCGACTCTTTGAGCCGGCTATGGGACTAATCCGGAGTGCGGGGGAACAGTGATGGCTAAAGGTTCAGCCCCCTCCCCAAGAATGCATTCAGCGGGAATCGAACACATATTCATAAAAATATACTTAAAGTAAAAGATAAAGACATTTTATATAATTAAAGTGGTATATATTAAATGTTAACAAAATATATTCCTAAAATATTCAAAATACTTCTTGCAATAGACACAAAAACTTTGCTTAGTCGAGTATTAAAGGAACGAATATGGCACAAGAAAATTTTTTATGAGCTTTATTTTTCTTATGTCAAATAAGAGAACTCTTATTTTCCACACATAAAAGTAATAATAAGATTCACTTTATTTTTTTAAAAAAAAGAACACTGAAATCGAATTGAGAGTAGGAAATTTTTTTATCTTATATCACATGAAATAAATAAAACCCTGTTTTTATTCTAGTATCATCTTGAATTAGGAACGGGCCCATCCTCCTACATTTATAGTTGTCTTGCCATATGTAGATGGAATGCCTTTTCCTCATTAAATTGCTATGCGATCCCTTAGGATGAGATTCGAGTCGGATTCACTTATATGGAAAAGTGTTTGTGATTTTTTAAATGATATAATTTGGGTAATTTTATTTTTACAAAGAAGTGGAATCTATATTTTTATTTTTTATTGTTCACTCTCTCTTTTTCATAATCTATCTCTTTCTCTCACTTAAAATGAAATAATTTTATATTTTTTTAAACTATACACACTTTTTCCCCAATTATATATGTAAATCAAGCTTTAGTCCTTGTTAAATTTTTTTTTCATTGTGGGTCACCTTATTTAAATATATGTTATATATATATGGACATATTATTTTACACCATTATAAATTATGTTTTGAATATTAGTTATTAATCTAATTTGTATTTAATTATTTTAATTTATTAATTGTATAAGTCACTGAATACAAATGAATCAACAATTAAAAATAAAATAATATTTTTTATTCTTACTGCAGATTAATCATATCTCGTAACAATATCATTTTAGGTGGAGGTAACTAATCTAGCATATTTGAAATGTTTAATTTATCAAACTATTGAATTATTGAATTATTTTAAAGTAATTTTGATGACTCATTTAATGTCTTTAAAATAAAATAGACCTTTGAGGTTAGATTTTTAATATAGTCACGTCAAACCTAAAAAAAGAAATCTACGAAGAAATAGGTTAGAGATAGACTTTGTATTTAAAAAATTAATTAAATCTATATTAAAAACATAACCTAACATCGTTTCCATCTATAAGTTGCGACATATCTTGAGCCATATAAACAGTTTACTGTTTACCTTTATAATATCTAAACATAACGAAATATTACTCTCATTTTACATGAGGTAGTCATCTCTTTTTCTCTCACTTTGAAAATCATGTCCTCCTTTTTTTTTGCTTTTAAATAGCGGGTCCTACTTGAATTCTCTCTGTAACATGAGAGAACTACTCTTATATTACATGAGAATAATATTACCCCTAAACATATTATCCTGGTTTCATATTAATCACGTAACGTGAGAATTATGGCACGATGTCTCACAAATGGTCCCATGTAAATGATTTCCTAACTTAAATTGTCTCGTCAAATCAATAAGAGCCCTTCCAGAAATGGAAATAAAAAATCAAAAATGAATTTTATATGAAAATTTATCAAAAAAAAAAAACTCAATTTCAATTTTTAAGAAATACACACTCGTGTTACCTGCTTGTACTGTTTGTACATGCATGTGCGATATCGATCATACAGCTGTAATCATTAATTCCACTTTAGTCAACATCATTGAATACGCACTTATCATGTGTGGTTGGAGTGATAAGGGAGTGGATATGATCATCGAACATCATTGATCTTTTCTGGTTTTTTTATTTTTATTTTTTTAATTATAAATAATTATTAAATAAATTTATTTTTTCTGCAGTTACTACAAATAAGTTATCTGCAGTAACCCCAATACAACGTCGTTTTGGGCAAAAATCATGGTGCTTTTGTAATTTTAATTTATTTCAGAGTTATAATAGTCTTTATATTTATAATTTTCTAAAATTTTAATACCAAAACGACGTCGTTTTAAAAAAAATACAGATAACTTATCTGCATTAACTGCAGAAATATTTTTCCCTTGTTAAATATTCATAATAGTTTTTTTAATAAAAGGATTGGTACCAAACAATACTGTTGTATTCATTCTAGCTGCATTACACCCCTACTCTTAATAATACTATTTTTAAATCAATCTGACTGTTTAAATTATTTGAATTGCTACATTTTACATTATACATGGGTATTCTCGGTAAAGTAGATTGAAAATAAAATTAAAAAAATTGACTAGTAATTTAAGCGGAAAGAAAATTTTCCCTTTAAAAAATAAAGTTAAAAATCACTGTATAATTTATACTTATTTGATGTAAAAAAATAATGAGAAGTTTGTAATTCTTTTACCCGTGCGGTGTAGCTTTGATTTTTTTTTTTTTAATTTGGTGCAACTTCAAATCTAACTCTTAAAATAATTAATTTATAATATGGATTTTTTTAAAATATTTTTTTAAATATTTTTTTAAAAATGTATCGATACCAATCATAACTTGTAGACAATTTTATTTTTTAATATTAGTATAAAATTATACACGAGATACAATTTAGTGATTTATTTTTTAATATTACATAACAGAAATCGTCAATGAAGACCACAACTTATGCTAAAGCTGGGCCATAATCATAAAATCTTTATAAAATAATTTCACATTTAAAATAAAAATTATGATTATATAACTTGAATTGCACAAGTAACATGTGGCTTGAATCAAAGTGGAAGTTGTGGGTATACATCACAAATTGCATAAATTCCTCGTATAATGGCTTAAATTATTATTCAAAGAGTAATAGACGGGATACAATGTTAATGGCTTAATGCTAGTCATGGTCTTCATCTACGAATCTTATCATAAAATATACAAATAAATTTTACAAAATCGTGTTTCATTTATACGATTTCATTCAAGTCATATTAAAAAATATAAAATCAGTCTATTAGTATTTAATAAAAAAATTTATGAAGTCTTTGACTAGAGTCACGAATTTGTACAAACAAATAACATCATTCAAAACTTAAAGTTGTACCAAATACTAAAAATAATCAAAATTACCCCACAAAGAGTAAAAAAAAAACCACCGACTTTGCATATATATATATATATAAAAAAAATTTATAACCTTTTTTCTCTAACCATCGCATCGTTTGGTACTGTTTTTAATGTCATTAAATCAAAATCAAAATATTATTTTATAACGTTAATTTGATTAAAATAAAAATAATTATAAGAGGATATAAGATAAAAAAAATTGTAAATATAACCTCCTTTAAATACATTTTGTTTTTATTTTCAGTTCTTGAAAATCATTTTAACCCCTTTTCTATGGTTTACCTTTTCACTCTAGAGTTGTCAAAATAAGCTCGGTTAGACGGGCTGAGTTTTTTAACTCATCTCAAAAGTGGAATAGACTGATTTTTTGGCGGTTTGATGACGGATCGAGGCAAGTCAGTGTAAAATAGGCTCGAGCTGGTAAGCCAACCAGTCAAACTGAGTTTTTCAGTCCAATTTTAAAAGTGGAGAGAGACGAACTAACTCATTTTTTGATAGATTGATGACGGAGTGTAGCGGGCCATCCACTTTGTCACCTCTGCTGTCAGCTAATCCAATCAAATATTTGCTGACAGTACATTTCTTTTTTCTTTGTGATAAACGTATGTGGAAATAAGGAATCCATACAAAAATAACCAATCACTTTTTCCAACATATTTTTGAAGGTTTCACCTGTGCCTGTGTGCCTGTGCCACTACTTTAAACAGGACCATGCATGTGCTAAGCCTTATTTGGAAAATAGTTATAAGTTATAACAGATGAGAAGGAAAAGGTAGCAGCGAAAAAGGGAGCCAGAGTGTGATATAAGAAAGAGGAAGAGAGTAATGAATTATAGCACAGTAAGGAGTGAGAACCTGCCAGTTTGCTTCCACTATATTACTACTCAGAGTTCAACCTCATTCTTTTAGTCCTTTTTTTTAACCCATCCCAAGTGTTCATTCCTGTAACCAATCTTTCAATATGCTTGATCCTTAAAGTAAAACCTATGATCATATAGGGTCTGGTTTTATTCAAGTTTCTAGCACAAATTTTCATTCCTATTATTGGGGTTGGCTATTTGCATATATAGGGAAAAAAAACACAAACTGGTAACAGATTTGCGTGATGGCTGTGAATGGATCAAAACGGTGGGACATGAGATTAGTTGGAATGGGTTTGATATTTAGTGTTCTTCTTGTTCTTATTTCAGCCTTTGTTTCTGCTCATCGAAACGTAAACCAAAACAAAATTACTCTCACGACCGTAGAGACAATAGAGGCAGAAGCTAATTATCTTGTTAAAGTGATGAACTTCTTATGGAACTCATCTGGGTCGGGATACAAACATACTTGGCCAGTAAGTGTGTTTCAAATAGCACTCTCTATTATTATGATTTTCATCAAAACTTCTCTCTCTCTTTCTTTTTATTTTTTTTTATTTATATTGTCAATTTTATTGTGAAATATCATGCTATGCATATAGATTTGTGGAATTGACAAAATTTGTATTGGGATGAAGGTTATTATGATTAGGCAGATCTTGGGATTATAAAAATTTGCACACGATCTGCTAATATATTTTAGAATAAAGATCATTTTGGGTCCCTGATAAAAAATAAGGTCCCCATTTTAATTCTTTATAAAAAAAATTAGTCTCACAGTTTTTAAAAAATTTAAAGAGGATTCATTTAGTTGAAATTGTGATCCCTCACAAATTTAAAAAAAATTCACATTAATCTCTTAAAAGAATTAAAATGAATCCTCTTTGAATTTTATTAGAGAACAGATAATTTTTTTATAAGGAATTAAAGTAAGAATTATATTTTTTTGTTAGGGACTCAAAAATAGGCTTTATTGAATATTTTAACATAAATGAACTACCGTGCATTGGTTGTATCGAAGATTTTTCTAATCTGAGTCTGATAAGGGGTAATTTGCAGGATATGAAATTTGGGTGGAGAATAATAGTGGGGACGATAATTGGATTCCTAGGATCTGCATTTGGGACTGTGGGTGGTGTCGGTGGAGGTGGCATATTCGTGCCTATGCTTTCCCTGATTATTGGATTTGATGCAAAATCAGCCACTGCAATCTCCAAGTGTAAGCATTACAAATCTCTTTCTCTCTTCAAGTTTAAAATTTCATACATAACCATTCCCTAAAATTTCTCCACAGGAAAATGTTCAGACAAATTCCCTAAACTTTAAGCCAATTTATAAATATTTTTTTTATAAACTTTAAAGTGGTCCATTACAATTATACTAATAATTCTTTCTATTTTTCCATGGTTAAACCATTAAATGAAAAAAATATTTGTTATTTTAAATGATACAACTTTATATTATTTTAGATGAAATGACATCATTTTGATATATATTTGATATTTTTTATATTCTCTCTTCTCTATAAAATTAGAAAGAGAGAAAATAAATGAGAGAGAATGTAAAAAATCATTAATTATCTACCAAAACAACTTTGTTTCATCTAAAATGAAATGTGCTATAGTTTTAGAAAAAAATATTTCTCCAGTTAATGCAAATAAGTTATCTGTATTTATTCTTAAAACGACGTCTTTTTAGTATTGAAATCTTAAAAAATTATAAATATAAAGACTATTATAATCCTGAATTAAATTAAAATTATAAAAACATTATGATTTCCATCCCAAAACGACGTCGTATTAGACTTACAGCAGATAACTTATCTACAATAAATGCAGAAAAAGTGAACCCATAGTTTTATGGCTAAATCTAAAATCTCTATTCATACAAAATCTTGACCGTTCATCAATTTAAATTTTTATTATAGTTTTATTTTTTTAGAACTTTCTGTACCCGAAAAAAAAACTATTAAAAAATATTATAAGCAGAAAACGTGCTTCGCGTGCTCTCCTTCTTGTGTTATGATTCCTGTGAGCTGTTGTGGTCCATTTTCAGCATGGTAGTTAAAATTTCAATTTATTAGTACAAGTCTAATTAGAATCTTTACTGATCTCAGTAACTCGCAGCCAAACATATATTTTATATATAAGACACCGGTAAGCATATTAAAACAAAAACAATTCAGAAAAACAAAAGAAAAAAAGAAAATGGCAAAACAGACCACTAAGCTCAAATATGGAAGATCGTAAAATAAAATAAAAAAATAGAAGTTATTATTTTAATTGTTGATAGTTGATTTTTAAATGAATGGATGAGATTTTTCACATTATAAAATTATATAAAAAATTTACATGAGAAAATCTGCTCTGGCTGGAAGCACCTTGTTGTTAGGATCAAACCAACGTCCGAGAATAACTATATTTTTTACATGAGAAAATCTGTTCTGGCTGCAAGCACCTTTTTGAAGTATTCATTATATATTAAATTACATGGTTATATGAGTGTAACAAATTTTAGTAAATATTATTAAATACTAAAGTGGGAATATTTTCTCTAAAAAGAGGAATTTGTTTTTGGTCATTGAAAAACAGAGGAATTGAAAAATGGTCTTTACAAATTATCATAGCCAATGCACCCAGCTCAAAGGTGTATTATGAGTGATGAATATCAGTAATATTTTTTGCCGAATATCTGTATAACCCAAAATAGTTCTGCCTGTCACAATACTACCATAGTGCTAAAAACAATGTTTGCTCTTGCTCACTACTTATGATTTATAACTAGTTATAAGTATTAAGGTTGTCTAGCTTGTTAATCTCACTACTTATGCAGGGGCGGACCTTCATGGAGGATTAGGATGGCTTCCTTCTAAAATATGAAAATATGTTCTACTATATGATATGCAACATGGTCTAAAAAAGCAAAATTTTGAAAGTGCTTTTAAAAAATGAAAGACAAGCAATGTTATTCATAAGAAAAGTGTTTCACCCGTTCATTGCACCCAATTAGAGATAACTATTATTTACCAGATTCAACCTGCCAGTATATATGACAGTTTTGTTCTTGGTCTGCTACTCTCCCCAATCAATGTGGAAAGTTAGCTTTTTTTATTGTATACAAAGAAGAGTTCAGCTAGTATGCATATTCACTCTACCTGTCAAATTTGTCTAGAATTTGATTTTATATTGATTGATTATCTAATTTTCTTTTTATAATCATTAAAAATTTGTACAAATTGTCATGTCAAAACTTATGAGAAAAGTATTTAAGTTTTGACTTTGTTGGCAAAGAAAAATGTCAATAATAATTATCAATTATTAGTTGGGACCAAATGCTAAAAATAAATAACACATTAATTACTTTACTGTTTCTTCTCCTAAATAACAACTAAGGGAGAAAATGAGATTATAAAAAAATCAAAGAAAGTGCATTATAACACCAAAAAGCATGAAGGTAAACAATAAAATTTGATCTTACAAACAAAATATAGGGTCTAAAGCTAGTTCTTCATTGAAATAAAAGGTGCAGTGGATCACTGTCACCGGAAACAAAAAATTGACATTTCAACTAAAAGATTGGCAAAAAATTCTGTAATTTTATTAGGTTTTTGTTAATATATATTTTTGTATTCTTAGCATGATCATCCAACCAAAACTGACATTATCTTTTCATAATAGTAATATAAATTTTTTTCCCCCGTCATATAATTTTCTGAGTACGCGATTGTACTTATGATTTATAACTAGTTCTGCACTTGGTTTGATAAAAGGTATGATAACTGGTGGAGCAGCAGCAACTGTTTTCTACAATTTGAAGCAAAAACACCCAACACTTGACATGCCAGTGATCGATTACGAACTAGCACTTCTTTTCCAACCAGTGCTGGTGCTTGGAATCAGTATTGGTGTTGCCTTCAATGTGATTTTTGCTGATTGGATGATAACAGTTTTGTTATTAATTATTTTCACAGGCAAGAATTACTTAAAAAGTTAATCTTTTCTTATTTTCTTTTCTTTCCAAATTAATCTTTTGATGTAGCTAGTCTGGGTGTATAAAACAGGAATTTCAACCAAGGCAACCTTTAAGGGTGTTGAGACATGGAAAAAAGAAACGATCATTAAGAAGGTGCTTAATTTTTTACTAGTCTTTTATATTGAATTGCTTATAAATTTGTATTTTGGTACTTGCTTTTAATCCATCTCGTGTTATAAATAATCCCAGGAATCTGCTAGACAGTCACAATTAAATGGTAAGTGGATCAATAATATTTCTATTATGGCTTTCTAGTGTTTTCTTGATTAATAGTTAATCTAGGGTGTGGTTTCCAAAACTACCATGTTAATTTCCACTCTACTTAGACACTGAAAGGACTGAGGAGGTAGCATATGAGCCTCTACCGGGAGGCCCAATGAATAGCAATCACACTGTGACTGTGGCCAAAAAACATAATGAAACGGTAAGACATCACAGAGTAGCTGCTTCTATTTTTCATAAATCATAATCTATTCTTTGTGGGAATGACACCTATGATTGCCATGCAGGGATCTCTTATTAAGAATATTCATTGGCGGGTACTTGGACTTCTTTCCACTGTCTGGCTTATTATACTTGCGTTAGAGATTGCAAAAGTTGGTATCAGAAGAGCTATTTCAGTCCATAAATTTCCAATTTCCTCGTACTTGTATGTCTACATAGAATAATGATAAAATTGTGCATTTGTTTTGAAACAGAATCACGCAAAAACTTGTTCAGTGGAATATTGGATATGTAATCTCTTGCAGGTACATAGTGAATACTTATTTCACTTCCTAGATATTCATCATCTTGCATGTATTCCTCTCCATGACAACATGATAAAGAGTTTAGCACCTCAAGAGTTGAATTTGTTCCCCAACTTTCATGTAATCTGGTTATAAAACCATGAGATTGATCATTTTCTTGTTTTGCTTGTTTTTAGATCCCTGTGGCATTAGGAGTGACTTCATTTCAGGCTATACTTCTGTACAATGGTAAGAGAGTGATAGCATCAAAGGGAGATCAACAAACACATTGGCGAGTGCACCAGCTAATTCTATATTCTTCCTGTGGCATAGCCGCTGGCATGGTTGGTGGCTTGCTTGGTCTTGGTGGAGGATTCATTTTGGGGCCCCTTTTTCTGGAGCTAGGAATCCCTCCTCAGGTACCTTTCATCCTTCTACATAAGGCCTAGAGACTAGAGTGTGTGTTTGACTGTATTTTTGTGTTGGTCCCTTGAATTGAATTTGTGCCTCATAAATTTCCTCATAGGTATCAAGTGCTACAGCCACTTTTGCCATGACATTTTCTGCATCTATGTCAGTGGTGGAATATTACCTTCTAAAACGGTTTCCAATTCCTTATAGTAAGTATGGATGAATGGAAATGGAACTAACAAAATCTTTTCTTTAAATCACTTCAAATGCTCACTTTCTGATTGCCTTGCAGCTCTTTATTTCGTAGCTGTATCCACTATTGCGGCCTTTGTTGGTCAACACTTAGTGAGAAAGCTGATTGCCATATTAGGGAGAGCATCACTGATTATTTTCATTCTGGCCGGCACAGTTTTTGTGAGCGCAATATCACTAGGCAAGTGTCATTAGCAGGACTAATTTATTTTTTCCTGGAAGCTCACAGTTTTACAATACTTTATTAAGATTTCCTCATTTTTTTGGTTTCATTGCAGGTAGTGTGGGCATAGCAAAAACGATCCAAAAACTTTCAAAGCATGAGTACATGGGGTTTGAAAACCTTTGTACTTACACAAGCTAAAATATGAGAATTCAAGTTACGGATTCAACTTCAAGTGAAGGACTATTTAATTGACATTTTTCAAATATTTTTAACCGAGTCAGAATTTTTATACAATTATGTCAAGATCTTTAAATAATGTAATGAAAATTCAGCACTTATTGTTTGTCAAACAAACACCCTCTCTAAATGGTTATTAGAAGTATTCTAGGAGATTGGCTTGGCCTAGGTCCAACCTGAATCAGTTTGGGTGTCATGTTTTATTTTTTTCTAATCCTAAGTGAACCCAACCTTAACTAACTTAGTCTGATTAATTTTAATTTTCTGATTCAACCCATCATAACTTACGATTACCACTGCACTCCAGCATTTTAGTGCATGTACATTAATTACATTCTCAAATGTTACATTTTTAGACCAAAAGAAAAAAAAATCACATTTTAAATTATTGTTGTTTAAAACACAACTGCACTTTAGGAAAGTATAACACTTCGATCCGAATTAACTGTGGAGGTCGACCTTTATAGTTTCGACTTAATCCTGGAGTCCAGGCTTGATCCTTGTATGGATATCTTCGTTGTTTCAAATGCAAAATGATTGGTGGAAAACGATACATGCAGTAACAGACAATTTAGCACATTCATGAGATAAAAATTGCAAGTACAATAAGCTGATGGTAGCAATTAGCACCTCTCATTTCACATAATAGCTTCTACAGCAGATTAATCAGGAGGTACAACGTTGGAAAACCAATATGCGAACTGGCACGCAATGAAATAGTGAAATTCGCTTATCCATGTTCATGGATACACGCACATGAATTTACTCAACCTTACAGAGTTAAATAAATTGATCTACAAATAGACTTCGGAAAAAATATATATATATATATATATAAAGATTTAGATATATTTAAACAAGGAAAGAGTTATATTTACAAACTTTTTGCTTACAAACTCTTACAAATTACACTATGTTCTTCCGGGAGTACATAATGTAATTTGCAAAAATTTATAAAAAAAAATTATAAACAGATCCTTCCTCTTTAAACAATGTCAAGTAACAACTTTAAGCTTGTATTTTGGAGGTGGTTTCTATGAGAAATAAATAGAAAAATATTGCCCGATATACAGTTTGAAGTATGTTCTCTAGTTCATTAAGTGATGCTAATCTGCCTAGCTTTTTGCTATTTGGCAGTAGCTAATTCTGATAACAGACTAAGTTATATCTGGACAAGTGGAGGGAAAGGTAAAAATAAAATAAAATGCTTATGTAATACACAAAAATATTTATTTATTTTTTCCATAGTGTTTTCTTTCTAGAGGGTGTCTTTTTCTCCCAAAACTTTTCGGTATGTTCTATAACTCATCTTTGACGACTTGATTCTTGACTTTAAGAAGTTTGTTGATGGATGCAGCCAATTCTTTCAAACTAGATTTTGTAGAAAGTTTGATCTGCATAAAATAAGGGTTCGTTATAGTAGGGTGGTCAATATATAAACAAAAACTCTATCCACCAAAACCAGGGTCCCAAGAAGTAATTACCGGATTTGTCTTGTCATTTGTTCTGTAAAGTAAAAGTGTGGGATAGTCATTCACCTGAAATATTAACAAAAGATAAAACCCATCTTCAGTAAACATAAACCTTGATCATATTAGTGGTTAATATAAAATCCAATAGTCCTTAATGAAATCCCAGGATCCTAAATTTTCAGAATAGGTTCAGAGTGCGAGTGTGTTTTGCCATAAATGAAAACTGAGACAACGAAAATTTTCATGACACTAACTTGCAATTTAGGATGTTCATTTGCTGAAGCATCTATCCTAGCAAAGATTAGATTAGTTGATCCTTTGTAGTGCTTTGCCAACTTCTCTACTTGCTTGCTTGTGGCCTCACAGTTGATACACCAAGGTGTGAATACCTGTTGTACAAAGTCATAAATCATGAGAGCAAATCTGATATATCAAGGCATAGCCAATATGACAATCTTTCTTATAAAAAAAATCTCAAAGCTGACCCACTAATATTTTTAATTTGATCGACCAGCTAACGTTATAGAGCAACACATTCTGAAATCTTGACAGAATGTGGAAGCCATGCATGTCATTGCATATTCAAAATGGAACAAAAATGAATTCCCAAAGCATCAGTCATGGTGACTAAAGATGACTTTCAGAAAATGATGACACCTTCAATGGTGGAGGCAGAATTTGCCACCCCCAACCCCCTCCTTTTTTTTTTTCCCAAACAAACTAATGAAGTTTGAACATGTGACATAGAGAGGAAATATAGAAGGGATAAAACTTTGCAAACCTCCAGAAGCACATCCTTCTTGCTGCTCAAAATTTCGTCATCAAATGTTTTCCCAACAATAACATGGACACTAGCTTCTGTCTGCAATTTCCAATGCTACAATGTTAATTGAAGACAACGTCGAGTTAAGTCTCAGGACAAAAACAAATAACTTCTACGTTTTATTGGTCTACTTTTCTGCTCTATTATTAAAAATACATAGCTGGCTTTATATCTCTAGGAAGGACTCTGAAATATTATACACATAATTGACTCACTTTAATTTGAAAAAGCTAAAGGGCCACATATGACACTGACCGCACAACTATTGTTCTCTCATTGTCTAAAACTAAAATAGGAGAGACACCTTAGATGTGTAGGAAAATAACGGGGAAAAATATCAAATGGTACTTACATTATCTGGTATGGGCTGTGACTTGAAGTAAGGTGACAGAGAACCTTGCACAAGATTATTGCAGAACTCCTGCAGAAAACCATTTAACATTAATTAGTTTCCTTTAGTAGGTGATGACTCGAGAATCATTTATACAAACAGAAGATAATACTTCAATATTGCTTTGTGTTGGTTTTGACTCCAACAAATATTTTGAGCTCATTCCATTACCAAATGCAGCTACCTATTTGGCACAGCAAGAAATGAATTGCATCAGTTTCCACAATTTTCTATACTATTAAAAGAATTTGAACAAATCATTGCTATTAAATCGTAAACTAACCACCGTATTTTTTGATTCTTCAAAACCAAACAATGTCAGGAAGGGCTTTGCAAGGTTCTCATCATTAATATCAACATGTATAAACATTATCTGCATTGCAATGAAAGTATTAGACCAGACATTCTACAACCAACATGCAGAAAATGGTTAAAAGAACCCAAATGTAGGCCAGAGTAACAACCTTCGACTTGAAAGATCTTGCAACATTTTGAAGAGGATCAAGAAGATTATTAAAGTCATCCATGTCTGCAAAGACTAAAACCTGGAGAATAACAGATAATTAACCTCAACTATTATTAAGTTTGAATATAAACATAAATGATTAAAAATAACAAGGAACAGCCCATATAGCCTATGATGAGTTAAAGTTATTATTCATTAGAAACATAGAAAAGTCACTAGATAGGGTACATGGTTGGAGCAATTTTTAGTACGTCCAATAGTAGCTTAGTTTCCACAAGTTGCCTAAAACTTTAGATTGTAGTCTTTTATCCAAATTACATTTATTGAAAAAGATCAAATTGAAGGAGAATAAATAAAGCCATGTTCTGAGAAAAATATGGTTGTTCAGACTTCAGATTCTACAGAATAATTTTGTACGTAAGATGTACTACTCAATAAGTTCTCAAAAAGACATTCATTTCCTTTACAAAATACTCACATCAGTTTCAATTATCAACTATCAAGCATCCTGGGGGCAATCAACACATGGCAAAAACACATAAGAGATTATGATTTCGATAAGACCAAAGACTTGCTAGGATGACTATCATGTCAACACTTATTATTCTTATTCAGGTTATTCTTCTTCTTATGAGTCTTAAGTGCTTCTGCCTATATTTTTATTGAAACTAAGAAGAAAGAATTTTCCAGCATCTCAATGTACTGAATTGATCAAGTCTAACCAGATTGCTAGACCACAGAGGGTAGCCAATAATTAAGACCAACCTTAATATCAAATTATCAACAGATAGTTACTGTTACTAAAGAATATCCATTTGCACCAGAATTCAAAAAGAGATTACTGTAATCAATTCACATCACAGATATTTGAGTAATGATGAAATATTTGAGTTCCTAACATCATATGTAGAATTTTGAGCACTTTATGCGGGATTTATGTACCATTGAATTATTAACATATATTCCAGACTCCAGTAAAAGAGAGAATAGGAACAGAACTGCACACCAACATAATACGCAATTTTAGATTAAATGTGAAAATAATAGTAACCTGAAGCTTGATGGGGCTAGAGTAGACTCTGACAGAATTCATTTCAGTCAGTTTTGTAACTAACGGAAATTTGTTGTAATCTAAAAACTCCAGTATTTTATTCATTGCGAAAGCTCCATCTGCATAATCAGGAAAGTTTTGCATGTTGCCTTAGTAAGTCCTGACCATTTGGTGTTATTGTTAGCGGAAAAACAGACAAAATAGGTAAAGGAAAAGTACATGTTATACATAAACAAGCCTACAATGTGGTTACACCAATTTTTAACTGCTTATATTAATTAAACATGATAGATGTAAATATATTACCCAGCTCAAGTGTGTAGAAAGGACAGGAGTTCCAAGTTTGTTCTCTTTGGATAGTTCTAATTTGCAACAAACATAGAATGCACTAATTATGCATAACCACTTTAAGTGATACTAGTATCTGATTTACTTTTATCGTCCAATGTAAAACACTAGAATAAATTTAACATCTGGATAGAAACCAATTACAGACTCACCATATGCAGTGTATCTTTCGGGTTCACTCTTAACAATTCCAACAAAACGATCAGTAGGCTTGATATCTGGATAAAGAACTTGGGCAAGCTCTAACTTATTCACTTCAACAAACTGGGTTTCATTATCGGACTTTGCAGCACTCACAAATTCTTCATAATCAGGTCCCTGAGATATTTTAATAAGATATGATATAATACCACAGTACCGAATTCAGAATTAATGTAATTTTGTAACTCAATTTTCTCAAAAAAAAAAAATTATTCTTTTGATCAACTCGTAAATTAAGTGGCAAACTCATCTGCAACACCACATAATATGTCAAGTGATTATGTTGACTGATCAACTCCACAACTCCCAATCACCTGAACTTCCTCTCAATTTGGCATTTCTAGTCTTAAAGCCATAGAAGAATACCTTAAAAGATTATTTCACTAACCTCAAATTTATCAAACCATCCAATGACAAACGTATGATACTTTTTCAGAAATTCCTCAGCCGCTGTCACTGAACTTATCCGAATAACAGGTGTACCGGTCTTTTTTCTTGCCCATAACACTATATCATCCCTGAAAAGCATAATGAAAATAAGTCAATAGGCAAACATTTCAAGTGATTCAAGCAATACAAATTACCAATTATCAGTGCCTTGAGGACATTATTTCAAATTATGAAGGCATCATGAAAACAAATCACTGCACGTTAAACAAGTTTCTAGATAACATAAACCAACAAGAACACCAACCATACATTGTAAAAATATAGAATTCAGAGCAAAATCCAGACACAAACCTAACTAGTTAAATAAAATTCAGGGAAAACAAAGGATTAGGAATCCATTTATAGAAAGAGTTAGAGCATTTTACGCTGTGAAACCGCCAGAGTACGCTTGGGAGGTGCCATTGACGAAGAGAAGCAAAGTAGGGTACCCTTTGACCCCAAGGATTGAAGCTGACTTGGGATACCTATCAGCATCAAGCTTAGCCATCAGAAGAGGGGTTCCCAACTCCTTAAGAGAAGTTGCAGCCTCTGCAAAATGGGGCATAAGCTCAGCACTCCTTGGACACCAAGGTGCATACCCCAGAACAAGAACATACTCGTTCCCATCAAAAACCCTCTCTGTGTTGTGATTGTTGAGCTCAAGAACGATCCTTTGAGCCTTTGTTAAAACCTCTGCTTCGGATAACTTCACACCACCGCCTTCGGCTTCCTGCTCTACTTCCTCGTCCACTGCTAACAATGCCTCCAAATCATCGTCCTCCTTATCGTCAAGGACAGCCTCGGAACCCTCTGTGACAACGTTAAAACTCAGTACTAGGACAAGTGTGAGAAGGAAATAGATGAATCTTAGAGTGGGTTTTCTGGTAAACATGCTGCAGCCTGCTAGAACTGATCTGGGACCAAAGATCTGATTGGGTTTCTGAAAAGTTTATGAATTTTGGGAAGACAGCACTCTCAGTGTAGAGTGAAGATGTGTGTGAAATGAGGACAGAAACAAACGCTCTCTGTAGAACAGAAAGAAAGGGAAAGTTACACAAACTATGAACACGCCTAAATTTCAGGAGGCCCATGTTAACAAGATTTGAGGAGAGTGATTGGGTGCCACTATCCTTTGACCAATATCAATATTTAAGAAAAATAAGTTTTCTTTTTCTTTTTGAGTTTATATAAGGAAAAATATTGATGATAAGATTAAATTACTGATTATTTCTCAGGCAATTTAGGTGCAAATAATCAACATTAATGTTTGATTTGCATATTAGTTACTTAAATTTAGCAATTAAAGAATAATTAATAATAATTTTTTATTCATTTTATATATTTCTACTTTTATATATAAACTAGTGTATCACTCGTGCGTACGATGTACGGGAAAAAATTAGAATTTTTATCGGTCATGATTGGTTAATCTCTAAAAGAAATGAAAAATTTCATCTTGGTATGAAGCTCTAAATGGAACAATGATGTAGATATAAACATGAATGAACAAAAATGAAAATAACCTTATCAAGATATTTTTGTGCTATTTTTGAAGTTGAAAAAGTTACAGGAATCACTTAAAATTTTGTAAGCATTAACCATAAACAAAACTTTGCAATTCGGAGACATTGATTGTTATGCAAATCAAATATAGTTATGTATTCAATAATTTAATTTTCAAATACAGCAAGTCGTGCAACAGCAATAGTGATCAGATGTCATATTCTCCTAAAAAAAGAAAAAAGAAAAAACGTGACAAAATTCAAAACAATTCCCAGCACTTAAACTTGGATATTCAGCACCCTACAAAGACAAAAAAAAAAAAAAAAAAAAAAAAAAAACCATAAATTATTTAGGATGGCATCAATATAACTGCTCAAATGTTATATAAGAAATATTATTGAGTAAGTTAGAATAAGGAAATCATATAAGTTAAAAAAGAGAGTCAATGGAGAGTTATATAGAAAATAACGACGTCACAATTGGTTATGTTAACGTCAAAATGGCTAAAAACAAATAAATCCATATAACTTATTGTTAATTATAATAGCCTATGATGCACGGACACGGACACGGGACACGACACGACACGACACGCCGACACGTTAATTCTAAAAAATGTCATATTTGGACACGTTGGGACACGTTTTGATATTAAATAATATTTTTAATATATATAAAAAAATTTACGTTTAATACATATAGCAACTCATAATAACTCATATACTAATCAAATATTTACATTTCATAACATAAATATTAAGAAAAAATAAAAGAACATCCCAAGAGTGTAGCAGCAGTGGCACTGGCAGAGGCAGAACTCGAATGATCCATCTTGTAATTCTATAAATGTGTCAAACAAAAAAAAAAATTAGTGAGATTGATTTAGTGTATAAAACAGAGCACTTTAAAAATCTGTGATTGCAATGTAAAGTGCAAAATTCTGTTTGCACAAGAGGGTGTAATGTATATGAACATGATCATGAAGAATATTTTAGAATTTCCAGCCAACTCTTAATTATTGTTATGGACATGGCTATTTGTAATGTAGCCAACCCAATAAAAGAAATACTGTTTCATATCACTTTTATCACCATGCACACCGTGCAGGGATTATTATAAATTGAAATACAGAATGTAGTACACACTTGAGCTTGTTTTGTAATTGGAAACCAGAAGTAGGAAAAAGCTACAATTCCACAAGGGAGCAGTAGCACATGGTATTTACTTGAAGAACTCCATAACCCAAAAGGTACGGACATAGCAATATAGCATTCATATCTAATGCCACATAAGTAGCCTGGAGGCATGAGTTATGGATTCTACCAGTAGCCTCAGATAAGGGGTTAACCAATAAAAATAAGGCAAAGTACCTAACTCTTTACCAAAACCCTTCTTTCATTCTTTCACAGCTTAATATACAATTGCTAAAGCAAAAGTCCAGCTTAATATACAGAGAAAAAAATTTATTCCAATAAAAAAAATTGCAATGCAAGATATGAATCCTTTTATAATTTGCTGCAGCAAATGCACTTGAGATCAAAGTCTCTGAAATATCTCTCAATTAATGAGCTTGGTGTGCTTTGGCCTAAGTACAACCAATGTGTCCTTTTCCCCTATACTTGCTTTATGGTTCGTTTCTCTGGGTTCTATTGGAGTTTATAATATAGTTAAGCATGATATTATCGTTCTATTGGAAACTATACAAAAGATGTTGTGTCAACATGTTTATCATAAGAACAAAATTCACCAACATGCAAACAATCGACCTGGCAGGAAAATAGTTAACTTCAACCATGATAAGGGAGAAACAACTATGCAATAGTACGAAGACTCATAATCTAAAAAGAACTATAAAACGGTACTTCATTCAACTCTAAGAAGGACTTAACTATTGCAGGTAAAACATAACAAAATCCCATTATGAGATAGAGCAAGCAGATAATATGGAATTGACAGTAAGATGCTTGTGTAAAATTTAAACCAAGTCCAAATAGAGGTGCCTGAATGAACAGATAAATATTTATTAACATATAAGGTTCTGGCATTTGTTTAACAAATGTAAGATATTCAGGTATTTCAAAAAAAAAAACGGTATTCAGAGCATCTTATAGAATCTTGAACATCCATGAGATAAAAGATCAAATTCGTCAATTGGAGATGTAGACGAGAAAAAACCACACATAGCCTCAGACTCTCTAGACCCAACAATAATCCAAAAGGCGAGAATCGAAAGAGAATCGAAAGAGAATGGAAAGAGACTTACCGGATGTAGACGACGACCAACGACCGGAGAAGAAGACGAAGACCGGCGACGATCGACGACCGGCGACGAAGAAGAGAAGACCCAGACCAGCAACCTCCAGCGCGAGAGAGGATCAGACGATAGGGTTCAGACATCTTGTTTTATTAAATATTTTTTTTTAATTGTAATTTTATTTATTTTTAAAAAAAATTATCAAAACGTGTCCGAAAACGTGTCCATATACATTGACTGCGTGTCGGATTCGGTCAAACTCGCGTGTCCTTCAAGTCAACGTGTCCCAAAAAGTCAACTGCGTGTCGGACGCGTGTCCTAACGTGTCCGAACGTGTCCGTGTCCGACACGTGTCGGACACGCATTTTTTTCAAAAAAACACGTGTCCGTGTTTCCTAGATAATAGCCACCAATGAACCTTCTCCTTTACATTATTGATCAACATGTCTCGTTGATTCAACCGTACCCTACTATAAAATTGAGCCATTTTTAGTTATGGGAAGGTAGTTTCGGTAACCTGATTTGCTTGCCATGACTGTTTGACAATTTTGTGCACTTGTTATTCGTTGGCTTCGATTCTATAGTTTGTACTAGGAGAACGCTGTACTCCTGGTTGTCTCATTGTTAACTATAATAGTGAGCCATTTTTAGTTATGGGAAGGTAGTTTCGTAACCTGGTTTGCTTGCCATGACTGTTTGACAGTTTTGTGCACTTGTTAATTAAAAATCTGAAGTCAAATGTTACTTCAACAGCTCAGAAAAACAAAGCCCAATCTATAGAACAAGTAAAAAATAACAAGATCACTAAGTTCACATCTCATCTTCTCAAATGATCTAATTGACACTTAATCAAGATTCAAGACACTCATAAAATGAAGACAGCCAGCAAATTCGTTTTTTGCGCAAACCAGACATCAAACACAACCTAAAATTGTCTTTGGCATCAGTCATGACAGGAGTATAGTGTTCTCCTAGTACAAACTATAGAATCGAAGCCAACGAGATAACAAGTGCACAAAATTGTCAAACAGTCATGGCAAGCAAATCAGGTTACCGAAACTACCTTCCCATAACTAAAAATGGCTCACTATTATAGTTAACAATGAGACAACGAGAATTATATGTAAATCAAAAAATAAATGTGATAAATGGTATCAATTGATAGTATTTCCATTGATTTAAAACTGTACATCAATGTATCTTAAATAGAATAGGCTGTTACGGCTGTTACCAAACAGTCTGTTACCAAATAGTAAAACAACTTCCTAAAGATAAGTAACTACACCTAATTACAATAGGACTCAGTTATACATATCCTAACAAACTACAGGTTACAACATATCACAGCAAATCATAACAACATATAGAATCTTCTATTCCAACACTCCCCCTCAAGTTGGAGCATGAAGACATGAAATGCCTAACTTGGAAAGAACGGCAAGAAATGGAACACGACCAAGTGCTTTGGTGAAAATGTCTGCGAGTTGCAAATGAGAACGAACAAAAGTAGTTCGAATCGTCTTAGAAACCAACCTTTCCCGGACAAAATGGCAATCAATTTCAATGTGTTTAGTTCGCTCATAGAACACAGGATTTGCCGCGATATGTATAGCGGCTTGATTATCACAACATAATTCCATAGGATCATCATGGATAACATCAAGTGAAGCAAGAAAAGACTTCAACCATATCAATTCTGCTGTCGCGGCAGCCATGGAGCGGTACTCAGCCTCTGCTGAGGAGCGTGAGACAGTGAGTTGCTTCTTTGTTTTCCAAGAAACAGGTGAGGTTCCAAGCATATTGAAGAACCCAGAAACTGACCGGCGAGTTAAAGGGCAGCTGGCCCAATCTGAATCACAGAAAGCATGAATTTTGAGATCAATTTTGGAAGAAAGGAGGATACCTTGGCCAGGATTCATTTTGATGTATCTTAGTACCCGAATGGCAGCCTCATAATGTGCTTCCTTTGGAGCTTGCATGAACTGTGAAAGAGTGTGCACTACATAACTCAAATCAGGACGAGTGATCGTAAGGTACACTAGCTTGCCGACAATTCTTCTATAGCGACCTGGATCATCATAGTCAGGTCCATCTGCCAGAGCTAAGCGATGATTCTGTTCAATTGGAAACTGAACCGGTTTACAATCCAACAAACCTGTTTCTTTGAGGATATCTAATGCATATTTTCGTTGGCACAAGAAGATACCCTCATTGCTACAGGCAACCTCGATGCCCAAAAAATATTTCAAGTGACCCAAATCTTTAATTTTAAAACACTTGTTAAGATAAATCTTAACC